CAATTCTCCCCACGCAAAGAATGAGACAAGTCAGCAACAGTAGCCACAAAGTCAGTTTATAGACTGATGTTGGAGTCCCTCGGGTTGACCTCCATGCCCAAATCGTGTAACCTAAGCTAAGTTTCTAAGTATTTAGAATATCGCCGACCCCCAGATGAAAATGGAATGAGTCCATAGAGCTTAAGCCTTTTCCGATCAGGCTATTCCTGTGACTGGAAGTAGTTGCCTCATATAGGAAAACCAAGCCATGTACATACCTGAATCACATCATCGGTGTGTTCCTGGACCCCAAAGATATCGCTAGGGTCCTTAGATCTCAGTTCCAAGAGGGGCTGGATTGCAGAGTCACAGCTGATGGGCAAGCCAGAGCACATTGACCTGGAGACGTTGGACGGGGTTCCAAGGACAAATGGAAAATGATGAAAGTCTTGGCAAAAGGCTGGTAAAATATGTTTAAAGAAGAAGAAGGGAGAAAAAAACAACACTTGGCAGGAAATAGAAACAGATTAAGGGGTCCCGTATAACTTGCCATATGTTTGCAAATTTAACAAATTCTCAGGAGCTCAGGCAATGTCTCTTGGCAGCCGCCACACAGAAAACCGGGAAGGTTACTTATTTGCCGAGTCCGGGCTAGCTGTGCGGCAGTTGCCGATGGTCTGGATGGGGGTGGTGGGCTTGGGAGGCGTTGGGGAAGAGTGGGTCCTGGAGGTTTGCACAGTAGTGTAGGAGTCCGCTTGGGCTGCCTTGACAAAGAAGCACAGGTTGGGTGGCTTGGCCAACAGACACGTGGAGGCTAGACATCCAAGGTCAAGGTGTGGTCATGGCTGGTTTCTTGTAAGGGTGTTTTTCCTGGTTCACAGATGGGCACCTTCTCACCGTGTCCTTGAACGGCCTTTCCTCTGTTCACAGACACAGGGAGAATCAGCAGCTATAGAAGAGACATCAGATCTCTGGATCCAAATGTCTACAGAGAAGAGTTGGGTGGAGTTGATGGGAGAGTCAAGATGAAGTGATATCTTAGGGCCCTCGGTGGGGGGGGGGGACACATGGACACAGTGGGCAGGTGGCTTCAAATTCCCAAGAGCAGGTGTGAACCTCCAGCCAAACGTGGAAGTCAGGAAGACAGAGATCTGAGAGGCATTCGTGCAAACGAGCGTTTTGCCCAAAGGGTTCTGCAAACTCGTGTTCTTGGACATATGGCGTAGGGGCTCTGAGAGACAAAGAAACAGAGAGACACACAGAGACACAGAGATACCGAGGGACACACACGCGTGCACATTTTCCAATCATAGTTGACCATAAAACATGTGTGTGTGTGTGTGTGTGTGTGTGTGTGTGTGCGTGTGCGTGTGTGTGCGCCTTCACTGCTGTTAGGGACGGGAAGTGCTATTTGGTTACCTTCTCCTTCATATGGAGTCTCTTCTGAAAAAGTGAGCACCTAGTCTGAATACAAACTGGTGTAATTGGTAAATTTCATGTCTGCAGGCAAAACACGAGTTAATTTTCACAAATGTGATTTTTGTTTTTTTGTTTTTTTTTTAAATGTTATATTTATTTCTAGGAGAGAGAGAGAGAGAGACAGTGTGAGCAGGGGAGGGTCAGAGAGAGAGGGAGTCACAGACTGAAGCAGGCTCCAGGCTCTGAGCTGGCAGTCAGCACAGAGCCCGACGCGGGGCTCGAACCCACGAACCGCGAGATCATGACCCAAGCAAAAGTCGGACGCTTCACCGACTGAGCCACCCAGGCGCCCCACAAATGTGATTTTTGTAGGGAGAAGGGCTTTTCTCTGAAGCAGGCCTACAAACTCACCTGCACGTAAGAACCACCGAAATGTTGGTGTTACATTTTTAAAGTATTTATTTATGTATTCATTCATTTATTTGTTTTTATACAGAGAGCTCAGTCAGGCAGGGGAGGGGGCACAGGGAGAGAGAGAGAATCTTTACATTTTTTAAATGTTTACTTATTTTTTGAGAGAGAGAGGCAGAGTGTGAGGTGGGGAGGGGCAGAGAGAGAAGAAGACACAGAATTTGAAGGAGGGTCCAGTCTCTGAGCTGTGAGCACAGAGTCCAACACGGGGATCGAGCTCATGCAATGTGAGATCATGAGCTGAGCCAAAGTCAGACCCTTGACCCACTGAGCCTCTCAGGTGCCGAAAGAGAGAACGGGGTGGCGGAGAAAGGGAGAGAGAGATAGAGGATATTAGGCAGGCTCTCTACTCAGCACAGAGCCCCATGTGAGACTCCATCCCACCACCCTGGGATCATGACTTGAGCTGAAATCAACAGTGAGACGCTCAACCGACTGAGCCACCCAGTCGCCCCATGCTTGTTAAAGTGTGACTTTGCTGTCCCTTCATAATCTCTGATGGGACACACTGTTCTCAACCCAGGAAAGCAGAGGCCCAGGAGGGGTACTTCCCCAAAGCCCTTATCTTACGGGACACTCTGAAAACTGAATTTATCTCCCGAGCCAGGGGGATACTGGTATCCGTGTGAATAAATCAGCACATCGTCATCAACAGGACATTATTTTTGGAGGGATGAATCCCCTTTTAAAGCAGGAGGGAATAATCCTGGGATCATTGTTCAGCCTCACGTGACTGCTTTTTCTATTTCTTTTAAATCTGGGAAAGCTCTTGCTTAATTTAAAACAGGAAGTGGGGCACCTGGGTGGCTCAGTCGGTTAAGCGTCCGACTTCGGCTCAGGTCATGATCTCACGGTTCGTGGGTTCGAGCCCCGCGTCGGGCTCTGTGCTGACAGCTCGGAGCCTAGAGCCTGTTTCAGATTCTGTGTCTCCCCCATTCTCTGACTCTCCCCTGCTCATGCTCTGTCTCTCTCTCTCTCTCAGAAATAAAATAAAAAACATTTAAAAACAACAGGAAGCAGAGAGGCAGAGGGAAACTCAGAATGGTCTTGGAGGATCAGCCCTTCCTGGGAAAGACAGAGAAAGAGATCTTGGTTGACTGAGGTCTGCCCTAAGTAGACTTCAGGAAAAGCAAGTCATTGAACTTTTACCAGGAAACTTCGTTGAACGAGGATTTTATTGCACATCTGGAAGGTGTTTTTAGGTGTCCAGAGCCCTCGGAATGCGTTTGTGAGACCAGAATGAGGGCGTGAGCTTTTGCAGCCAGGAACTCCGTTGCTTGAAGCCGCAGACATCAGGATGTTTGCATTATCACGTGAGTAGCTCACGATGGCGTGTGGATGTTCTACCCTCCCCCCTTCTCAAACTGATTTGCTAAACAAGTGTAAATACAAGGAGAATTTAATACGTGGGCTTAATCCATAGCAATGAATTAATGAAGGAGGCAAAAGGGCCTGAAATGCCTAATGAATTCCTTGACAAATGCAAAGACAGAATTGCTCAGGGGCGCCTGGGTGGCTTAGTCGGTTAAGCGTCCGACTTTCTCTTAGGTCATGATCTCGTGGTTCATGGGTTCGAGCCCCGCGTCGGGCTCTGTGCTGACTGCCAGCTCAGAGCCTGGAGCCTGTTTCAGTCTGTGACTCCCTCTCTCTCTGACCCTCCCCTGCTCACGCTGTCTCTCTGTCTCTCTCCTAGAAATAAATTAAAAAAAAAAAAAAAAAAAAGAATTGCTCAATGTAGCACACTAATCCCAGTTCATACTCCCGTTGACCCGTCATGTCCAGATGATGCTAAACCACCTCGTGGTCCCAAACCGAGAAGGCACGCCTGCTAAGTTCCCATGGGGCTGTGGTGGATTTTATTTCCACCGTGGCCCTCCCGGGTCACGTGGACATGGCTGGGACACACAATCATGAGTAGAACACGACCTAACAACGCCCCTTTGAACTGACCATGTGTGCTCTCCCCATCTCACCGGGTCAAATATTTCCATTCCCTTGAAATGTTGGAAGTGAAGACCCATAAACCAGTGTTAGTCAAGGCCTTCAAAGCAACTCGGAGAAGAAAACTTGCTTCAGTTTCTTGCCCGCGAGCTCAGAGCCTTATCTTCAGCCCAACGCGTGATGATTTGGGCAGACAGAAATAAGTGGAATGTGTTTGAGGTGTCTGTCTCCAGACTGTGAGGGCAGATAAGCGACGGACACACAGCAGGGGGCCAAGCCCTTCTTTCCATTGCCTGCAAATGGTAGCAAGGTTGGGGCGATCGAGCCAGGTCTCAGCGCCAAGGAAGCGTGGAGTCCTCGTCACTTCCAAGCTCCCCGGTCTGAGGTGGGACCATGGGTGTTTCCCAGAAAGGGGCTGTCTTCCTCTCCCTTGACAATAAGTCATGGAAAACAGTCTTGGCATGTGTTGATGTGTCAGCAATCTCAAAGATAGTTGACTTAGTTTCCCCACTGGTACATGAGGAGGAAACTGTGCAATTCTGTAGAACATGGACACATCCAGGTGCCTTCCTTTTACCATGGCAGGTGGGTATCAGCTCTGTTTCTTGCCTCTGGACAAGGGGGCTGTCAAGGACATGGGGGGTGGGGGTATTGGGCACATCAAGGTGGGGTATTGGGCACGTCAGTCCACTTTTTATGATCCAGCTTGGCTTTTAAAAGCTGTATTTTCTTTTGCAAAGGTCAGCGTACCAGCTGATAAGACACACAGCAAGAGGGCTTCAGACTCATCCTGATGATAGCCCGATTTCTGTGATGGTGCGTCCCTCCCCCCACACCAACGCCCCGAGACCATTAGAAATGGTCCGCCAAACAAATAAACGTCAGCCCTCGTCTTTCCTTCGCCTGAGGCGTAGAAGCCAGAGCTCATGATGCCTGCTGCTGTCATTATCGCTCCGTTCTCCCGATATCTGCACGCCATTCGTTGCCAACCTCTATGCCCCTTGACCAGCTCCATGACAAAGCTGAGGACAGATCACCTTTGCTCATTGGGGTGGCCTCTGCCTCACATCCTAAACCGCCATGAGCAAACCTCGCAGGACTGACTCATAGTGTGATTTATTATTTTTTTACAGAGTATTCTTTTATTTTTTAAATAGTTTTTGTCAAGCTGGTTTCCATATATCACCCAGTGCTCATCCCCACAAGTGCCCTCCTCCATGCCCATCTCCCCCCTTCCCCTCTCCCCCATCCCCATCAGCCTTCAGTTTGAGGAACCTCCACACTGTTTTCCAGAGGGGCTGCACCAGCTTACATTCCCTCCACATCCTCACCAGCATCTAGAGTCTCCTGATTTGTTCATTTTATCCACTCTGACTGGAATAAGGTGGTATCTCAGTGTGGTTTTGATTTGCGTCTTATATATTGAGTGACACAGTCCACACATGTCTCTATGTCAACATCTACATAAAGTTATTGTTACCTATACATGTGCCTTGTACATGCTGATGTTGTTTAGGTATGTGTTTACATTATTATACTTTAAAATATACCCAATTCTATTTTTATTTTTTTTTAATTTTTTTTACTTTTTTACAAATACTTTATTGTCAAGTTGGCTTCCATATAACACCCAGTGCTCATCCCCACAAGTGCCCTCCTCCATGCCCATCTCTCCCCTCCCCCCCCACACCCATCTGCCCTCAATTTGTTCCCAGCATTCAAGAGTCTCTCATGGTTTGCCTCTCTCTGTCTCCCCCACCATTTCCCCCCTTCTTCTCCCCCATGGTCCTCCATTAAGTTCCTCCTAATCCTCCTCTACGTGCAGACATATATTTGTCCTTCTCTGCCTGACTTATTTCGCTCAGCATAACACCCTCAAGGTCCATCCATGTTGCTACACATGGCCAGATTTCATTCTTTCTCATTGCCATGGAGTATTCCATGGTATAGATAAGCCACATCTTCTGGATCCATTCGTCCGTTGATGGAGACTTAGGCTCTTTCCATGTTTTGGCTATTGTTGAGAGTGCTGCTGTGAACATTGGGGTACACGTGCCCCTATGCATCAGCACTCCTGTGTCCCTCGGGTAAATTCCTAGCAGTGCTATTGCTGGGTCATAGGGGAGTTCTAGTGTTAATTTTTTGAGAAAGCTCCACACTGTTTTCCAGAGGGGCTGCACCAGCTTACATTCCCACCAACAGTGTAGGAGGGCTCCCATTTCTCCACATCCTCGCCAGCATCCAGAGTTCTCTGATTGGCTCATTTTAGCCACTCTGACCGGTGTGAGGTGGTATCTCAGTGTGGTTTTGATTTGTATTTCTCTGATGAGGAGGAATGCTGAGCATCGTTTCATGTGTCTGTTGGCCATCTGGATGTCCTCTTTGGAGAAGTGTCTGTTCATGTCTTCTGCCCATTTCTTCACTGGATTGTTTGTTTTTAGGGTGTGGATTCTTGAAGGAATCGGTGCCGGTGAGCCGGCTTTCTTGAAAAGCATGTGTGCTCCCATAAGAAACGTAAGGCTCGTGCATGCCGGGTGAGGAGGCTTCAGGTTGCCTGCTGTGAATTTCCATCACTACTGAGAAAGCCCTGCTCAGCTGGGTTCTAAGGGGAGAATTTTGGGGCGATATATGGAAAGTACTGAGACCAGAAGATGTGTCCAATGGGGACCTTGTAGTTTTACTTGCGGACCCAGACTGTGCAACTTTAAATCTCACTTGATGCCTTTCCTTGGCAGTAACAAATGTCCTTTGAAGTTTGTTTGTGAGAAAACAGGCCCCGAGAAGTTGGGTGGAACCTCACGTACCACAAATGAGCACTTTTCTTCTTTGTATAAAAGCCTGTGTCTTGAATGTGTCCCTGTAAGTGGACTTGATAGCAATGCTATTCACATTTCCAACAAAAAGCCTTTTTAATCTTCCCTGATGCCGAGTGTGGGGTCCCCAGGGATGAGCTGCCCCGGTGTGATGTATGACCTGCAGACATTTTGGTACCTTGTTGGTGATGCCTTCAGTCTTCCTCACTGTCTGATGGGAATACCCTTCTTTCTGAGGCATTAGGCCTTTGTGGGGTCTGAGGATGGCGCATTCATGTGCATGTTTCCCAACGATGCTTGGAGTCACTTGAGAAAGACGACCATCTGCAATTCGCATATTTTCTTTAGTGATTTTCCCACCGTCCAGTACAACTCATGTTTCTGGATGATGCACACGTTTTCAAGGTGACCTTTCTTCCCCGTAGGATGCAGGGAGGTGGGAATAGCACACTTCCTTCACACCAGCCTCCCCAACCCACTCCTCATCCCATGGTCCTCTCCATGGGCCTATGAACACCAGCCCTTCAAAGTACTTTGCCCTTAAAAGAACGAGTTAGAATTTTCGCCAACACCCACATTAAAAAAAGAGAGAGAGTAATTCTTAAATTGTAAACTCACCAACAACCTCACACGCGGTTTCTTTCTGACATTCTGATGAATATACAATTGCTTTTGGTATAAAGCCATTTTTGATGGAAAGCACTGATGTGTTCTTGAAGGAATTCGTGTTATATTTTCTCTGTCATATCTGATTTAGCAAATTTGTATCCTAAATAGGGATTAGCGAGGTCAGGATTCCCGTGAGGTTGCTGGGGAAGGGGCGGACCCAAGCCTAAGAATTACAGGGATTGTGTGAAGTCCACTTCCTAGATGTGCAAAGATAAGTAAATATGGTAATATGGTACCCTTTGAGGTGGAGATAGTGTTAATCCATGTTAAATAGATTGTCATTGAGAACATGAATACTAAACTCAGTATTTTCCTTTTTTAAGTAGGCTTCATGCCCAGCTCGTGGCCCAACGTGGGGCTTGAAATGAGGACCTTGAGATCAAGATCTGAACTGAGATCAAGAGTCAAATGCTTAACCAACGGAGCCACCCAGACCCTCCTAAGTTCAGTATTTGTGATTGCCTTTTGTGATACTTCTATAATTACATGATTTTGAGATATTCATTGTAAAGAAATATAGGATCTAGTTTTCTGTCACCGATGGTTATGAATCTTTGGGAAGGACGTCAGCCTCTCAGAGCCTGGGTTTCTGACAATGACAGAGAAAAGAAGGGGCCATATCCAAAACCTTTTCATAGATGATGCTGTATCGTTTTATGGTCTCCAATCAAGAGAGAGAATTCCTGTCCAAATCGTTGTAATCATATTGCCATGAGCTTTTCAAAAAGCTCACCCTGATCTTCATCTTTCCTTGCGATCTACTAACTACAATGAGAAGATGCCTGAATTAAAGAATGTGCACAAAACATTTCAAATAAGAGAAGTTCATTTCCAACCTGTGGCCCAATGTTTTTTTTTTTTTTTTTTTTTTTAAGAAAACATAGCTCTGGGTTATGTGAAATTGTTTTCTGATTTTTTTATTGGAAAATAAAATTAGGTAATTGGACATGGTTAAGTCTGGATTTTTTTTTTTAACATGAACCAAATATAGTCCAGTATTTCATTTTAGCCAAACACAAAACAGATTTTCTCAGAAAAGGTTTTCTTAAAATTTTGTATTTTGAGAGTACTTTGTCCGTATGTTTTTATAAAATTTATAGTTCATGTACCAAAATACACTTCCCAATATAGGTAAGTTTCTACAGTGTAAATCTGGAACTTGTATAGTGCTATATGTCAATTATATCTCTATAAAACTGGAAGAAAAAAAAGCTTTGAGTACATCTTTGATGTCCAAGTAATATTTAAAGTTCTGTTTTTATAAAAAAAAAACTCTTTCATTTTCCAGAATTAACTAAGTTGAACATGCTTGTCTCCCTCCCCCCCCCCCTGCTTTTTTTTAAGAATCAAGACATGGAAGGAGTTTAATTACATGATTCTTGATTTGATGATTTTTTGATTGGTCCCTTCTATGCCTCTGCTGTTAAGAAAATCCTGTGAACTTCCCTGTAAAATTAGAATGTGTGCTTCATATTTTGCTTGGTATTTCCAAAATTCTTACAGTCAATATCTCCATGACTCCATTACATCGATTCCTTTGTAATTTCCATGTGAAGACCAGTGTCAAATGTCAAGATCACATGTCTATGTCCAAGGACATTGCTTGGTCTCCAGTTTCTTGCTCTATGAAATTAGTGGTACAACCTTGATGGCACAACCTCCCGAAGTCTTGCCTTTATCAGTTTTTGTCTCCAAAACCCTTGGAATGACTCCCCATCACCTACAGGCTGGAGAGTAACATGGACCATTGACAGTGGAAAGCACCCCGAGGCCATGATTTTCATCGTACACACACACACACACACACACACACACACACACACACAGAGGAAGAAATCCAGTGAAAAGTTCCCTTCCCTGTATGATACTGTGAGTACATGTTGAGATTTCCTCTACGAGATTGGAGAGTTGCGCATGCATAGCGTGTGTCTGGGTCCTGCGCTTTCTCTGGCAACTTCCACACGCCACCAACTTTGGCTGAATGTAACGTCGAGAGAATGCTCCGCATGGTTTTTCTTAAAAGGAAGCACTGGCCGGCGTAGCATTGATTTCTTTCCTTTTAACAAGATTGATTTTCCCCCCAACTTTTCTTTTTATGAGACATAATGATGTGGTTGAAAAGAACACAAACGCATGTGTAAAAGTGAGCAGAACCCTATCATGTCCTGAAAAAAAAAGTCAGAAAAGCCAGGAATCAATCATGTGTGGTGTGGTCTCCATGATTGTGTCACCAGCCCTTGAATTCATATGTTGAAATCTTAACCAGCAAAGAGATAATATCAGGCAGTGGGGACTTAGGGAAGGGATTAGTTCATGATCCAGTTGCTGTCCCTGTAAAAGAGACCCCAGGGAAACCCCTTTTTCCTCCTGCTGAGTGAGGTTATCACGAAAGGTGCTGCCTGTGAATCACAAGGCGGACTGTCATCATGCAGGTCATCGGTTGATGCCTTGATGTCGGACAACCAAACCACTAACTTTGCGGTAATTAGTTATGCAGGAATAGAAGATTAATTAGACCACGACTTTGCCTTATGTTACCAAATTAGGGCAAATGTCTCTGATTATACATCTGGGATGAACAAAAACCATCTGCAGTCTTCAAAATCCAAGTGTTAACTGAGTAGCAGTGACATGCGCGTCGTCCATAAAAGAAAATGGAATTCTACTGAGAAACATTCTTCAAGCATTATTTTTATGGTGCCAGATGCCAGAGGTAGGAAATG